TTTTTGTGAAAAACGGGCCCATTTTTTTTTTTTCAAAAAAAGGGCATGCATAGCCTTTAGGAGGCTTATAGAGTGTTCCTGGGGGTGGGGAAAACGAGCAAAAAACAGCCCATTTTTGTGAAAAACGGGCCCATTTTTTTTTTTTCAAAAAAAGGGCATGCATAGCCTTTAGGAGGCTTATAGAGAGCTCCTGGGGGCTGGGGGCAAAACTGAGCAAAAAACGACCCGTTTTTCACTCATTTCTGCCCTCCCCAGCCCCCAGGACCACTCTGGAAGCCTCCTAAAGGCTATGCATGGCCATTTTGATGAAGGGGGCGTGGCTTCGGGAGACAATAAATGCTGTATTCAGTGTATATGATGCACCCAGATTTTCAGCCTCTTTTTTGAGGGGGAAAAGCTGCATCATACTCTGAAAAATACGGTATATTATAGTTAATGAATTACTGATTATATACTGTCACGTGCCTATCTGCTTCATTTCTGAGCTTTAGAATAAATAATCAGAACCATCTTGCAAAGGAAAAGGCACAAAAAGCAATATTAGGTTTCAAAACAGGCAACCATTTCTATTTGAATTCCTGTGAGGATTCCAATGTATTCACATTTGAGAAACAAAGCCATGGTTCATCACAGTTATAAATTGAAGGTTGCAGCAATGAGAGGTTATACCTTACCTGAAAGTGCAAAATTATGGTCCATATTAATCCCAATGTCAATTTAGGATTCCCATCTGTTATGTCATCATTTCGAATGTTCACCAGTTTCACCTGTCGTGGGTGGAGGGCGAGAAACGGGCAAAGGAATTAAAACAAATGGAGTTGACAATGTGCATTCTTTCTCTTTTATTTGATTGGAGTGAAGGAAAGATCACCTTGACTGCTGGCAGACTATAATTCTAGATTATCCTGTTCCTCTTTCTCTATGAAGCAGAGGATGCCTCTAGAAAAAACAGAATTCTTCTAACAGGATAGATGATGCTTCTGATTTTCCAATGGATCGTAGCCTGACACTAACAGTTCTTCATCTATTCAAGATAATCCACTCCGGCTAATGAATAACATTATATGTAGTACTCATTACGTTTTAGCAGTATTCAACAAACCCTATTTTATCTATCCTAATTTATAAGGTTTTCAAAATACTTTGAATTTGCTGGTCTATGGATATGATACAGATTGACCTCAAGACTTGACTACTGCAATGCGCTCTACATGGGGCAGCCCTTGAAGAGTATTCGGAGACT